ACGAAGGTCGAAATTTTACGACGACGTGCAGACCCCAATCCTGATGGTCGGAAAGACCTGCGGCGTGACCCTGAGGAGCATCCCGATCTTGAGCAACAAGAGCAGCTTAACCCAGTCCGAGATGCCCTTGCTGCGGTGGCAGAAGTGCTACGTGAGGAACGGCCTCACCAAGGTGTCCGAACTGGTGGTGCCAATGCTGCTCTAAGTGCTCCAACGGAGAGAGGCGGATGACCGTTTGTGCGAGAAGTTCAAGGTCGAGTATGAAAGAATCTTTCAGAAAGATGGATCCAGGAGGCTGATCGGCCTCCATTACGTGGAGAGAAGCGATATTATGATTCTTACCTGGTTGAAAGATCGTCGGTTCTCTTGGCTGAGATGCAGAGGGTGGTCCACGCCCCGGGTGTATCGGTTACAACTGTGAACGCGATTCTCCTGTCAGGAGAATCTCGCTTTTTATTGGGCAGGCGAATCACTGGTCCAGTGATTCTCCTGTCCGATGAAAAGCCGATCCAGTGACACTGGATGAGATGATCTCATTGAGATCGGAAAACTGAGAATTGGAAATCGGAAGCACAGACGTGCAGCGCCAGGCCTTCGGGTGTCCCCCAGCCGGTCACGCGGAGTCAAGTATCCCAGAAATCTTTGAGGCTGATCATCTCTCTCCAGCGATGCCCCATACTTGCTGAGCTATCGCTTGGGTCAATTAATATCCATTCTTCCAGGTTTTGGACGCAGTGGGGATGCTGCAAATTTTTACCAGTACCATCACCTTGGTGGAAAACGTGGCCAAAAAATTCTTGTTGAGAATTTGATCTCGACGTATCTAAACAATATAATAGTGTCACGAGAGCCTATATACACAATTTCAGCTCTATTTGAGCTCTAGTTGAGAAGTTATGCCGGAGACATGAAACAGGCTCTTCATATTACGCCTTCTATTATAGAAGGCACAATATGAAGTTCTATATCTCCTGCCAGTCGGTGGCGTCACACAGATCGGAATGAATATGTATCTCGACTGAACTCGTCGAGAACGATCATCCTTGAAATGTGAGGAAAATGAACATATCATCCCTATGATGGTCGCTGCATCCCGCATATCAACGAGCTACATCAATGCTACCGGTTACACAGGCGCCTGTAATGTCCCTGTTACACAAAGACTGCCAGGCGGGTCCCCGATGGACGAGTTTGATGAGTCCTTGGAGGCTCGTCATTCAGAATCTGAAGTTCAGATCGTTGGGTTTCCTGTTGAGTTTCGGCTGTGAGACGTTGAGTACCGAAAATTGTCTTCTATCGGCAGGTTTCCGACTGGCCGTCGGCGACGGCAACGTTTGCCGCAACATCCTGAAAGAGTAATCCAGAAGGCATAACGACCGTCAGGCTGACGGCGTCAGCTCATCCAGGAAGATTCGGCAGACTTCTCTCGTCGCATGCGATTCGCATGATGCGAAGACACAGTACCGAGTATGGGTCATAGTGTAAGATCTTTTGATGATCTCCCGAATCAAAAGAACGCAGAGCCACCCAGATAGTATAGAAGCAAGTATACGATAACCTCGGTAGCTCAGAAAGGTAGAAGAGCCACAAGTAGAGCGACGGGACAAGGTTCGCCGAAAGGCGAATGACGGCTGGAGAGACCACAAAACTCAGATACTAATAACTGAAGGATGAATCTTCTGCCGGTTCACTCGCAACCGTTTCCTCACAACTCGGGCGAATCTTTCAAGTGAGCAGATAGGCTGAATGAAAATGAAATAGGTTGAATGTACTTGAATATATGGTGTGGAGAATAATCAATTATGTTAGTCGTCATCATCCGATTCCACATAGCCTATGACTCATAGCACCAGAAGTACGAATCAGGATCCTATCAATGCCAATCCAGATAGCCCCCAAATGAATACCGCGACCTCAACTATTTCTCAATACGCCGCCTGTAGCTCTGTCATCGATGGATTATGTTGACTGATTTTGGTGATGAAAGGCCAAAGCCCAACACCCTAAAAGAGTTGCTATACCACCTTGAACCCAAACCGCACACTCAACTTGACCTTGGTCTTACAAACCACCATGAACAGAACAGGAGAGTTCTCCCATCAGTTGAATATACCGAAACAAACTAATCAAACTAAGGAACAAAGATTGTTCGCAAGTGTATCCGGAAAAGGCCTACAGTTCTAGCAGGCAACATCACCTCACCTACCAGAGTGACTCTGGTAGGAGACTGTCTCCTATCTCTTATAAGTTCTAGGCTAGAACGATCCAGTGGATCGCTACCAAGTTGGTAGCGACAGACCCTTTCGTATAGCTCACACGTATGATGTCGCCAATAAGCACCTCCTGCTCAAGGAGGCAAAACCACACGGAGTATTGAGAAGCTCGACAGAGAAAAGAGTTTCCAGCGCTCCAGAGGATGACCGCAAAAAGTCAATCACCGGAATTGTCGTGTAATGACAGACACATAAGAAATCGTCCCAGAGACAACAGCCAAGCCTAGATCCGGGCCGTGAAAACATGTGGTGAATCCATCTTAGTCTGCCCGATGCTACATCGAGTAATACTTCCACCATACAATACCACGCTGGAACCCACCCGAGGATAGCAACGGCGCTGTGGTTCCCCGCGATGCCCATACTTGGATCGACTGCCAATCCGATTCGCGAATCGAGCAAAATGCACCCCTGCGATACATTGAGCTCTCCTCCATCAGTTAAGGATTCGACTTCAAACCAATGAAGACGATATTCTTCGGAGTCGGAAGCCATGACATATATACGTGAACCTATCTTTTTCACACTTTTTATGTGCCTGGGAACCGATCCACCATCAGAATAGGGCAGTTCGATGCTGTAATACTATTACAATAATTACAGTAATAGTCATCGTCCTGGCTTTCGAGTGGAAGAATTGAAATCTTCAACTGTTTCTTCAGAATGCTGTATGCTATCACTGTGATATGATGACAATCGCGCTCGCCATGGTAATCGATATACTCGTTATGTCATACTGATCGGTTTGAGCTAAGCTGTATTAAGCCTTTAAGCTGTAGTCTTATCTCTTTCCATTCCAATGTTATTACGACTTATCTACATTCCTATCTTGCTTGTGTTAACTTACCACATGGTGCCCAGACCCTCGACTATTAACGACCTCGACGACGAGAACCTCTATGACTTTGTTGCCGCCTTGGGTACCGAGGAGGAAGAACATCTGGTTGATGAGAACACTCAGGCCGAGTCCAACGTTGTCAACGAGACGGGCCATGGTACTACCGACGAGCACGAGGAGGAGGAGACTGGGAAGAATAGTTCCTCTAATACCGGTCAAGAACAGGCTGTTCTGAACAGCCTGGCAAAGACGATACCGCTGAAAGTAGCCAGACCAAGAATACTACTGCCCTCACTACTACTACAACTACTACTTCCAGTCCATCGTCAACAACCACATCGGTTATAAGTGGCACTTTGAGAACATTCTCTATAATGCCTTCTCCCTACAGTGGGAAAGAAGACCCTGTACCTTGGCTAACCAGATTTGATTCAACCTTCAAGGTTGGATATGCTAGGTAACCGTGTCCCTCCCGGTAAGAAGTTCGCCTTGTTACGCCTCAATCTCCAAGGTGGTGCTTACACGACAATCGAAGCCAACGTCTGTCCCTCATCACACGTTACTGTAGCCGAGGATGACAAGCTCTATCGTAAAGCCCGAATGGTGTTGATAGATAGGTATGGTATGGATCTATTTAAGAGCTGGCACCAGTTCATCAATCGTAAGCTCCGTCCTAATGAATCTCCAGCTGAGTTCCTTACCGAGTTACAACGTTTGGTATCATTATCGAGACCATCGGGTATCAAGCTCGACCAAACATGGATGAACTCAGCAGCTTGCCTTATGTTCTGGGAAGGTTTGCCGAGTGATATTCCAGGGTTACCAGCCCTGAAAAGTCAGTGGAAGACTCTTTGGGAGTCTCGTGGTGATATTGTAGAGGGCTGCCTCAGATTGGCAAAGAGCATTAAGATTGATGAGAGCCAGGGAGCCATAGCTGCTGTTTCAGCTTACCCTTCCTACCCTTCTGTAAAAGGGAAAGGAAAGGAGAAAGGCAAAGGAAAGGGCTTCAGAGGAAAGGGCCGGACCTGGAAGGGCAAAGGTAGATTTGGTTTCCGGAATAGAACCATTTATAAGAGTGATAACTCTTTATCACCAGTGAGATGTTACTGTTGTAATGGCCGTGGCCATGTAGCTAAGGATTGCCCCAGTCAGCCCAGTAGTAGCGACAGTAATAATAATGTAATCATGGGTATGCTAGATACTAATGAGAGCCGTTATCTCTCTGTTACATTCAGATTAACCGAGAGCAGTGATAGCATCAGGTATGGGATGATCGATACTGGATGCACAGTAAGCCTAGTAAGTGAAAGGTTAGCAGATGCAAGTCATTGTTATCAGGTATACCCTGTGAGCCAAAAGCTGATGCTCGGTAGTGTCGCCGGGAAGTGTGAAGCGTATAAACTCAATAATGGTCCAGCATTAAGTTTGTGTGGTGTTATAGTTCAACCGTGGATACTGCGAAAAGCAAGTATACTGTCAATTGGTGGAAGGAAAATAGATGCAATTTTTGGTATGGATTGGGTAAGATTATGCGGTGAGCTAGTAATTAAACCAATGACGACTAGTAATGAAGTAGTTGAGATAAATCTAAATCATGCTGTAGGGAATGATGTAAATGAAAACTCACCGATATCTTTTGGAGTTGCGGTTCCATTACGGGACACAGTGAAACACAATAGTGAAGAAAAGAATACACCCAAACGGAAAAGATCAGAATTAGAATCAAATATCATATCGAAAAGTAATGGAAAAGAACTCATAATCGAGCAACCAGACCTGTCAGGTCTGGTTTCGGGTCCAGGTTTCGGCTCTGTGGTTTCGAAACCCAAGTGTCAGGTCCACTGACACTGACAGAAGTGTCAGTGACACTTCGTCGGAAAGAAATAGAACCGAATGCTTTTAGGTGGGAAGTTGAGTGGAAATGGAAAGATAAACCCGAGTCAGTTGTATACAAGCCACCATATTACCCAGGTGCAATGCAGAAACTATCAAACGCAGAGTTAGAATTGTACCATAAGTCAATAGATGATATGATTAATAGAGGGTATTTCGAACCAATTGATCCAAAAAACGTGAAAGGATGGATAACTACCCTCCCCGTAGTTTCACTCGGACGCACTACACCAGTAAGAGTATGTCTAGATTATACATGGTTAAATCAAAGAATTGAATCATTTCCAAATTCTGGCGGAAAGCCAACATCAGCAACGGAAGTAATAAGAGTATGGCGTACATACAATCCAGAACACAGTTTCATCGTAGATATCAAACACGCATACATGCAACTACGTGTACCCCCAGAGCAACAAGTATATCAATGTTGCAGATTCGTTCATTTGCCAAAGAATCAACAAACATATAAAATGACACGAGCGGGGTTTGGACTTAATATATCAGGAAAGGCTCTAGATGGCGCTGTGACAACAACGCTGAACGAAACTAAAACACATAAGCCGGTCAAAAAATATGTTGATGACATCTTAGTAGCAGAGGAAGACTTGAAGGAAGTACAATCGTCCCTGTCTAAGAATTCGTTCAATACGAAACCACCCCAAAAAGTGATTGGTTCAACACTACTAGGTATACATATCACGAAAGATGGTCAATGGACGAGAGGAAAATCAATACAGAAGGAACTAGATACCGTCCCAAAAACCCGCTCAGAATTGGCATCGTTAGTAGGCAAACTAGTTACAGTGTACCCTGTCGCATCGTGGTTACGGTTGGTGGCAGCAATGCTCACTCGTGTGAGTGCAGCTGCGAAACCCAAAGAGGATTCTCAGTATAATTACATATTGCCAACACAAATTCAACATTTGTGGAAACATGTTGCATTATACATAAAACAAAATGACCCATGTCATGGAAAATGGCAAATTAATCCTAATCAAGAATGGTATCTGTATACCGACGCATCCTCGTACGGAATAGCAGCCGTACTGTGTTTTGGTGATCAGGAGATCGAAGATAGGTCATGGCTTCGGAAGGCAGGATGCAAACGCCATATCAACGTGGCAGAAACAGAAGGAGTCTTACGAGGTCTAGAGTTAGTCATAGATTATATGCGAGCATATGATATTAAATCCAAAACAGTTCATTTATACGTTGATAATAGATCTGTCAAATTCTGGTTAACTCGGTCGAATGAACGGAATTGGGCACATATTAAGGGAATGTGTCGTAATGCAATAGAAGGACGCTTACAACTTATAGAAGATATAAAGCGAGCGTATAATATATCGCTAATCGTTCGTGATATTCCATCACATCAAAATAAAGCTGACATGCCATCGAGACTACCAAATGAATTGTTGGTTCATTTCAGCAAGGTACTGAGAGAAATAAATGGTGAAGAGAGTGACATAGTATCACCAATTCAAATAATAGGCGTTAGCAAAGAACGATCACAAGCATTACGAGACTGGCTAGTAGAATTCCCCATAGTAAACGGCAAAGTTGATATTCCCCGCACTAGCGCACAAAAACTGCTCATCCTGACGCACAATCACGAAGGGCGTGCCGCACAATTTGCCAAACTCAAAGAATGGGTGAATATGCCTGGATTGGCATCGGAATGCAATGCATTCAAGTGTAGCGTATGCTCATCAGCAAAAGCTTTTCCAAATGATAGAAAACCATTAGTGCCATTACATTCAATAGCTGTGGCTCCCAGATGTTGGGACAGATTACATATTGACATATGCGGACCGTATCGCCAATTAGTCGATGGAACTAGCCGTTATTATGCAATAACAGCGATCGATAGTCATTCAAACTACGTGTCAATTAGACCTAGCGCGAATGCTCCTACGTCGACCAATGTGAAGGATTTCCTCACATCGATCTTCGATACGTTTCACCGTAGGCCGTTGATCCTGCATAGTGATAATGGAAGTCAATTTGTAAGCCACGAGTTGCAAGATGCACTAGAGCGATGGAACATAGCCCACATCGTTACACCAATAAACGCCAGTTTTGCAAATGGGAAAATCGAGAGATGGCATCGTTATCTGAACGAATACTTGCGTGCTCATAATACAAGTACAGCAATGTCCATAAATATGTTCATGCAATATGCGAAAGAAGCAGCTTACCAATATAATGTGACTCCATCATCAAAGAGAGGAGGTGTGAGTCCTCACGCAATGGTGTTTCGCTTTAAGCCAAGCATAAGACCTGAAGTACCAATAGAGTGCCATGAATCATATGGTTATTTACAATCTGTATTTAGAAGCCCATCGGCCAAAAAGTTAAAGCCAGGCCTGGATGTTCTTGTACGTGTAACCGGAAATGTCCCCAAATTACAACGTAGATGGATTCCTGCAAGAGTGATCCAACAGGTGGGCACTAACAGAGTCGAAATCATCAAAGATGGTGATAAAGATAACAGACCTACTATTGTACACACCGTTAACCTCAAGCTGTTGTAGTCACCTCTTCCGAAGGAGGGGAGATGTGATATGATGACAATCGCGCTCGCCATGGTAATCGATATACTCGTTATATCATACTGATCGGTTCGAGCTAAGCTGTATTAAGCCTTTAAGCTGTAGTCTTATCTCTTTCCATTCCAATGTTATTACGACTTATCTACATTCCTATCTTGCTTGTGTTAACTTACCACAATCACATAGATATCGGACTCGCTTGAGTCAGAGGTGAAGAATGACTCACCGACGTGTGCCAATACACCTGGCTTGAACAAAAAGCTCTTCTTGCATATAGGTGTCCCTAACCGATTCCATAGAGAGACATCAAAGCCTAGTGACGTGCAGTTGACGATGGCGAATCCTCCCTTGACGCTGACGAGACCCCAGTGCCTCTCAACGGAGCACCTCTCAACAAGCTGTCGCAAAGATGAGCTCGAGATTGAGGAATATAAGTATTCACCAATGATTCTACGCAGGTCACCCGGAATGTTCGAATGGTAACTTCTCACAAACTCAGTCAAATACCGCAGCCTCAGCAAGTTTTCCGTGGGGATCTTTAAAAAAATCCCATCGATTCGCACATCCCTCGGCAGAAACATTGAGACACGGAGCAAACCCTATGATATCAATACCACCGTTCGAAAGGCACAACACGACAAGATTGTCCAGGTATGAGAATGACCTCGTCAGCCAGGAAAAGTGGTAGTGCTGAGATGATACTCACCTTGCACGCTTGCACAGCAACGCACAATGCGTGAGCCTTGTGTTGGGTGAGACCGACGGAAATACCCTGCGAAGTAAACTGCTATTCTCCCTACCCAAACCCGCAACCCTGTTGTCGGTTCTAAGTGCACTGCAGACTGTACATGGATAGCAATATCTCCACATTCTCATAGAGTATTGCTCTGTTCGTGCGCGACTCCAGCAGCTATAGTAGGATCGATTAAGTCGAAGCGTACACAGTTGCCTATACTGTTGGTAGTAGTCTAACTGATCGGGCTTGACATAGTGCAACGTCACACCATGTATATCAGTGCGTCTTCTACTCACTTCTATAACATCGCTCTTGCATTTACTAGTCAAAAAGCAACTCGAGTTTCCGAACGCACCCGCAGGCAGTCCTCTCGAACTCGCAATGCCTCTCCCGCGAACCTTCCTGATGCTGCAGAAGATGAGATCCAGCATTTGGCTGATTACAGGTGAATGCTCGAGGCCCTAATGCGGCTCTCCAAGCACGGCTGAACTGGTACGACTCAGACTTTAGAACCAATGCTAATCTCGCACTCGGTACTACGGCTACTTCGACTGCTATTGCACTCGTTACTTAGACTCAAAAATATCACGACTCGGCACTAGCGCTACAATCACAGCCTAAGGAGAGCATCAATACTCGAACTGTACACAAAAAACTCTTTTAGATAGATACCGCTCAGATTGCATGTTCGGCGACATGGATTCCAGTCCTAGTGTCGCCTCAGAATGTCCTCATCAGGCCTCATCCAGTCCCGAACGAAGTAGTCATCGTAACCGTTATCGAAGTAATCATGGCGCATTAATGTGCCGTGGGGGTAGTTGTAGTTAGTGGCACTGAAGAAGACCTGACCAGTACGTAGTTGGCTCATCTCACTACTCATTAACGATTGCACCACAGGTCGAAGTTTACTATAGTTATAGTCAACCAAAGTCACCAGTCGTATCGCAACGGAAAAAGGCAGCACGCGACTCACTCTGCCTGTGGGAGCGGCGGCCATCTCCTCCCCTTCGAAATTGGTGGGTTTCACTCGGAGCATATACCTGAGTACCATGGCAGCACAAGAGGATGACAGTCATAGTCAACAGAAACTAGCGGCAAGCTTCAAGAGAGCTCATGATGCGATGAAAGCTCATGGACAACCCTACTATCCTATCTGTCGGATTCGGCAGGCTCGTACTCCGTGGTACTACTTGTGTCGCTCTAGAGGAGGTGGACAAATCTTGTGAAACTGTACCCATGACGCAGGTCTACCCTCCAGCTCATTTTTGAAGATGAATTCGCTATGGGGATGATTGATCGGGTCGAGCCGAGGCAATCGATGGAATCTACCACGGAAGATACAACCAGAGCCGATGACCCAGGAATGCACTGCATTCAATGCAAGAAATCCGGGGCTCAATCACTTCCTTATCCTTGTGAGCAATTCCTGGAAGTTCAGTGGTAGTTGAGACGCAAGTTAGCGTTTGATAATATTTGAGCTGTATCAAACCGCAAGTACATGAGGATTAAGATTCGTCCAGGGAATATATAGGATGTAAAACTGGGAATATACTCTGCTCGAGCACGAAGACCCAGTAGAAAACCGAGAGGCTCATATTCCTGTTATTCTCATCCTCACGGGACGCCAGCAATATCCGGTTTCGTAGTTCGAAGTTCGTACATGTTCCTAAGAGCTTCCAACCCTGTTCGTGGCTCGGGCACTTTGTAATAAGCGTCCCATAGTGCCTTGGAACGTTCATGTTGAAGTAACGTCAGTAAGAGCAGTTACTTTTGGATGCGACGAGTGCGATGGCGTGAGGTCGATCAGCTGTACGTGCAGCCTGGTGTACCTTGCACCAACGGAGTGCATGAACTCTGTCCGTTGACTCACCATTGACTATATGATATAATCAGATGCAATTTCCTCCAAATGATCGCAAGGATCCGTACGCTCATACTTGCAGCTTATTACTGCTTGCGAACCAAGCTCGCGCTTTCAACTGTAGCGTGATTACCCAAGCCATTTTGAGTCCCGAGCAATCACAGTGGGGTGCATCCAGCCCTTGACCACCCATTGGTCATGGTCTCCTCGACAGACCCAGTGCTTCTCGAACCAGGGCAGGGATAAGTTAGGGCAGGATACGCCTTCCTGAGTGGACGCGGGTGGCTCCTGTCATTGTCAGGTAGCGCTCCGAGTGCTACTTCATATATCGGCCCGGAAATATGTACGCCATGCTTCCCACCGAGTGAAGAGGTGAAGGCTTCATGCAGAACCATTGCTTAGTATACGAGGCATGGGGAGCTCGGCGTCACCCACGAGTGATCTCGCCATCAGCGGAACGATCTCAGGGACACTTTGTCCACTTATCACGCGGACCTCATGACTGCTATTATCCTATGATTCACTCAGTAAACTGTCCGTCGAATTCTAAGTAAATCCGTCTTTGGAAAATCATACCGAGAGGCGAGCGCTGTAACTGCGCAACTTTCATACGAAACGCTCCGCGACACTTCTTCAAGTAAGCGTTCCCGACTCCAACTCGTTCCTCGCTGATGCCCTATCAAGACGGCAGAACTCGCAACTACTGCAGCAGCCGCAACAGCAACCGGGTGTACCACCAAAGCGAACGCAGTAATACCGAGCAAGCGTATAAAAAGCCGCTGCGAATGGCTGTACGAGATGAGCAGAATCACAATAACACACAAGTCATTGGTGGTGAGTTGATGGGCGGTACGCATAGTAGTGAGCTCATGCGGTGAACTCGCCTCAGTCTCGGAAAAGGCTGACAGGACATCCACAGAGACCACCACGGCCGTAGTGGGTCGCCACGACTCTAACTGCAGTACGTATCCGAGTGAACTCTCCGACTCTTCTGTCGATGGAGCACATGGGCGAATAAGGGCTGCTGAGTCACCTGAAACGTGCCACGTAGGTCCAGGAACGGCGAGGCTGGACCGTGGTGAGCGCCGTCGTGTTGCTCAGTTGCAGGAACAGTCATCCATCAGCGCGGCTTGTGCGAGAATAGAGCAACTCGAGGTAAGTTGCCACTTCTCCAGATTCTTGGAATGCAAGTTATTTCACAGCGCATGTTCTGGTTTCTTAGGTCGATGTATCTCGGATGCAGAAATCAATCAACGGCAGTATGGAGGATGCAACCAGACCTGATGATCCCTTGGTGATCCTCCACGAAAAGCGTTGATAGTTCTGATCGTTTTTCCCACTACTTTCAGGCTGCCGTAGTGGAAGACTTCAATGCGAGATTGGTGAATCATGGTATCCGGTTGCTCTCTTCGAGGTTTTTTTTCAGTCCAAATTTGAGAAGACTATTGTCGGTGCACTCCAGAATGTAACAGCAACAGGTGACCATGCAGTACATGCTCCATGCATACCCGGTTCCTTGCTCTCAGTGATCAGCGAAGTAACCGAAGAATTGCAGGACTTCACTTACAAGCTGGCGCAGAATCAGATCGACCTGATGAGCGAAATGGTATGCGCTACAGCTCTGAACATGAATAACGGCCCTTTCTCGCAGCTTCGACAAACGCTCGCTCAAGCAGTTGCAATCGTTTCCTCCAATGCACAGCAGCAATTGGTCAACGGTGGAGGGTTAGCCGTTCATAAGTAAGATAGATCTCCGCGTTGGATGCTCGATACTCAAGGCTCGACTCTCAAGCACTGCCAGGCCGCCTCATGCTGACGGATTTGGTCCTATCATACCACCGAAGGGCCCACCGCCGGCTCCTCCACCACCCCCGATGAATTGTGCAGTTCCGGCTGCCACTTCGGTGAGAGTGCTTTATGTTACTCATATATGGCCATCTTCACTTATCCCTCATGTAGGCACCCAAGTTCCCAAGTATATGCCTTCCTCCTAGAGTCGGCTCAGTCTCGTCGCCCTCTGCCCCAAGAATGTGCGTCGAGAAATCGTTCTCAGGTCAGAGCATATAGGCATGTTCTCTTCTACGCCGTATCGTGCGAATCGCTTTGTAGTTGGCGAATCTTATCGAACTACCATTGATCTGTCGAATATTGCCCTTTCACTCTGCAGTTGATGGGCCGTCCATGGCGTGCAACTCTTCCGAAGCGCGAAGACTGGTCGGTATAATCAATGCTACAAGCCTGAAGTCAGCGCTTGTTAACAACAACCACAAGGATGTCGTTGCTAGTAGGGATTCACAATTTCTCATGTCTGGTTCAACCCCTCTCGTCAGGCACGAGTAACACGAGCGGGAATGGGCGGTCTACGGTGGCTTGGAAGTACAATGGAGACGAACAAGCGTGTTGTGGTGGACTCACGCGTGAGCCCTCCGACTCTCCTGTTGGACATGCGTCCTGTTTCTACAGGCGAAGATATACGGGGCTTTTTCAATTGTGGAATCGCGAGCTGCGCAACCGTTGAGTCTTCCAACATAGGTGAGCAGCCGTTGAAGGGTTCCGTGGTTGACCCTTGGTGATGTCAGTAATCGATTGCGACGTCCTTGCAGAAGCCGGAGTGAACTACTCCAGCCACGTTTTCGATATAAGTACGGCCGTTCGTCGTGCGAATGTTGCCTCTGATTGAGTCAATTTCAGTTTCGATTCTAGAAGCATTTATCATGGCTACAAAGACTGGCGAATCATTCGACGTGAACCAAGAGTGGAAGCGCGTCCTCCGAAACATCGCGGCCGGCATCCCGCGCTCCACTGGTCCGTGTCGTGGCCATGTCCGAAGTTGACTTGACACTTATACGTACTCATAGGACATGTAAATTCTTTTGCATCGTCCTATTATTTTTGGTGGGTAGTGTCATTAGCACTCCTTGCACGACAGTAATTTGATAATCAATAGGTTTCTTTGGAATCGACTGACTTGCTTTCTGACGAGTTGATTGAATTCTCGTATCTGCTAGAGGGAAATTTTTTAAGCATTCAAAATGTTAATTATCTGCTCGCATGTCTACTTTCATCAAAACTTTTCGATGTGTTACTTCGATTATTTTACTATTGCTATTAGGAGCACTGCATATGAAATTTTTTAGTCCCAGATCAGATGCGCTGGTCAGGGCTAGTTCCATTCACAAACCGGGGTACACACAAGCTCGGCGACCAAAACAGAAGCAGTAAATCAAACATTCATCCCATGGAAGATTATCTTTTCGTGAAACACCTTATTCACGAAGAGGACGAATCAAGCATTGGTTCATACTCGAAACGACAGGTCGTTACTCCAATTCCAGAAGTGCAACTCCCAAGTGTAACAGTACAAGTAAATAGTCACTACTGGAACAAAGAGTCATATATCGAAGGAAACGATGCTGTGATCTCTATCTCATTTCTGATGGTTAACAGTCGCCGCCAGAACTTCTTTGATTAGCTGTGGCAACTTGGATAAATTAGTGGCCACCGTAGCTTTCCCTGAGTTCCATGCATGAGTAACTGTTGGACACATGCCGGCCCGAGCCAGTTGAGTCACCTTTGGGGATCGACCGGCATAAAACTTCGGCCTGATCGTCGAAGGAAGCTATGAAAAAAACGTGAGCATAAACCTGGTCTGCTGCTCTATTCAGTACCGCATCGAGTTGCTTCGGATGAATGCCGTATCTGAGTGGCTAACCTGGTTCACGACCCCCGAGTTTATGAAATACCTATCTAAGTTGGCATCGCTGAAAGCCATGACCAACTTCTCATCAGCTGGGCCAGTGCTCAGAAGCCTATCGGTGGCGATGCGGAGTGCATCCAAGGTGGAATCACCCGCACTGCAGTATTGGGCGTGCGCACATATTTCCTGATATCTACGTTGCCACTTACAGTGGGATGATAATTCTTACTTGGACGATTCTATATTTTTCCTTTTCATCCCTCGGAGGGTTCCCAAAGTCAACTAGCCCTATCGCTGGACCATCACCACTGTGTCCCCGAATCTCGTAGACAAAGCGATCCTCGAAACCATGCAGGGCTTCCATCAGTAACACGGCGACCTCCGTCATGCGCTTCAGCCGACCGTCAACTCCATTGAACCGATACCTGATAGTGTGTACTCAGCGAGCCGGATCTTGGCTGGTCCGACGAGGTCCGCATGGGTCACGTCCATTCGAGGCATTCTATGGTAGAATCCCGCGAGGATGCGGGCGAGTGGAGATATGATCTTCGGCTACAGATCCAGCCCCAGGAGATGCCCAGCAAGTCTCACATGCTCGCACTGATGTCGAGAACTATCGACAAATGTTTGGGCAGGACTTGAGGCTCGCCGACTTTGGGTTCTTGTAAGGCTCTACGCCGGTACACTCGCTTATCGCCGGCAAGGGCATCCACCAACCTGCCATCAGAGCGTTCTGTGGGAGCCAGCAGTCTGTGACTACTTATTCTCGTCAAGCTCTCCTTCGGTGCCCGCCAGCCATTTCCTCTCCCTCAACCTGCTGTCTGCGGTGTGCAGCACACGTCGAAGTTGGGCAATCTCATCGGCTACACCATCCACCTGAAAACATGTGCGTCGCGACAGTTACATGCCTTTCCTGTGAATGTCACGATCTCTCTATATCGTTGCCAATCAGCCTCGGACATTCTGATCTCCTCCAACCTCTTGCGTAGAGCTTCCTGTCCCATCTTTCGCGCAGCTTCGGCCGCTTCAGGGGATATTGACGCCTTCACTTCATCGCTAACCTACACCAACCATTCCCGGTCCCACTCGTGGAGAGAACACAATGAATACCTGATGGACGGGATGGCCCTTGTCAAGCCGGTACGGCCCTCCAACGCCCCCGAGACCTGCAGTATCCGCCCCTCCCGTACCGCCAGCGAAGGTATTGCCCCCGACATGAGGAGCGTCATCTGTGCCGCATGCCCGTCCCCGATTGCTAGCCGTAACATCATCCTACTCACCTTCCTTGCCGTGCTTCGGCTGCCCACTGGCAGTCCTGTGATCCTCTCTGGTGGGGAGGCTCCTCAGCTGGCGGTACTCTTTCTCAGCCACCGCTAGTTGCTCTCGCAGGATCTGAGCGACAAGGATTGGACGAGAGCTAAGCTCGATACACGCACCTCGATAACATCAATCCACCCATCAGTATAAAGTATCGCTAGCTGTCGCCCCTCCTTCATCTCTGTTATGCACTGCACAGCGCATTCCCGCAAAGGCAAATGACGGACCTTAGAGTAGGACTGTTCGGGTTCAGACTATTCTCCAGCTGTGGATGGCGCCTACCGATGCCGGCTGAACCGTATCGACGATCTCCAGCTCTCCGACTCTGCAGTTCAATATCGTACCACTGCGCCCCACGACAGAAGACAGGGTAAAACCAGCTCGCGAGGCCTCTCCGGGACACTCCCATATGCTGCCGTCGACTTCTACACGGTAGAAGAAGGCCCCGGTCGGATCAGCACTTTGATACACACTGTTTGCGAAGTCATAGACCACCGGTGCCACTGGAAAAGCTAGCCTTGATGCACCCCGAGCATCAATCTGCATGCCCCGACCATTCTGTGCGGTGACCACTATCGCAGAACCTCCAGAGGCAATGTTCGTGATGTGGGCTAGGGTCTCCGGGGATCTCAGCAGGAGTCTTAGGCGGGCGGAATCTTGGGATATGTCAACTTCGTACATTTCTCTCGTTCCGATGAGCTTGAGGGACCGACCATCTCCGGCGGCCACGGCGATGAAGGAGTCTGGTTTCGATACGAACAGGCGATGGACCACACCGCGGTTCCTGTTGTGCTCAGGCATTGCCACCAGAATCCCTGCTGCCGGGTTCCATACAAGAACTTTTTGATCCACCACCATCAACTGGGGCTTGGTTCTGGATCTCGGCCTCCGACCATTAACGATAACCTCTGCACTGGGCGCATCGGTGTGCATCCATCTCGCAGCACTGATCCCTAGAGATCGCTGTGTGCATTCCCACTTGTCGGTGTCAACGCTGTAGAGGCGCATTCCGTCGGCCACCGAGTCCGACAAAACGTGAATGTACCCCTGACTCTCAACGATGTCCACCATATCGTCTGCTCGAGTGTACCTAATCGCAGAACTCAATTACATGCTGTCCCTCCTCGTCAGCCGTATGTGGTTACTTGGACAGAGGTAGCTTGAAAGATGCCGCTCTTTCCGTGAAGGTTCCAACAGATCGTGGAAGCTCGAGGGACTTGAGCGGACATTCAAGGGACGGCTCCATAACGAATGTCCGACTCTCCACTTTTGTCCACGGACCTACCCCGAACCATCATAGGTCGGTTGCATTACATAAATATAAAATTGAGGAGGAATTAAAATATACTCTATTCTACAAAGTCATCGATCTCACAAAGTGGAGTACCAGGTGGAGTTGTCGGCTGGAGGCTGCTCTTCTGTAGCGATCCTATCTTTCGTAGCTTGGGTAGTAAATGAGGTTCCTGACAGAATAAGATCCCGATCTACCATAAAATCTGCGATAGATTTGCTAAGAGAAAGGAAAACTCCTGTAGAACGGGGATTGGCGCCTGCAGTCCATTCCAGACAGTATCGAGAATATCCCGAATGTCTACGGCGATCTCATACGGGCAACAACTAACAAGCTTAACGCTTCACTACATTCCATGATCAGTCGAAAGAGTCTCACAACTACATTAAACCCATAGACGAATTTGATCTCGTGCGGCTCTGCGAATGACTGTGAAACGAACCTCTAAGGAGTGAAGCGTCACAATGGCAAGAGTGTCGTTTACACGTCGTAGCAAACCATAGCGAGCAAAGATATACTTCAGTACGACATGTCACCTGTAACAGCACCGCCGCCGAATCACTAACTCCATCGAGTATAGCCTTAGAGGAGAAGCCGTGGCGCTCCAGGACTTTCCTGATGTTGGCTAGCGCCATTCTATCCCATCTGAGACGGTGAGGGATGAAACATGCCCCATCGTTCAATCGCAGACGACCAGAATTGGTTGCTCACGAGCCTTCCCCTCCGGGAAAAGTTTCGATATTCCCCTCCGCTTACCTTTCGAATGCTAGAACACCTTGCAGAGCTTCATCCGACCTCCCAAAACGGTTCATATGCCTGGAATAAGGACGACCAGTGGTCGACATATAGAAAACGTGTATACAGTGAACACATCTATGAAGTCTGGATGCCCGCCGAATCGAGAGCCACTCAGCCTTCGCGGCATGCCGGTTGTTCGACGATTGACATCATCAATCTATGCAGTATAGCAATTTGCTATTATCAAAGTCGCATGATCAGCGCAGAGAATCTTGCAATGAGTCAGTGCATAGTGCAGTGAAACTTCCTCACCGGGCGCTGGCTAATAGCTCCCTCGTCGAGAACGGATACGATAGTATACCGTCAGTTGTCAACCTTCGCAGTTCGCCGAAGACCGATACCAGACGGGATAGAACCCCAATAGGAACCTGCGAGAGACAGATCTGCATTCTCTACAGAGTGAAGGAGGTAGGCACATACTTCTGGTGCCACTGAGTGTACGAGCATGAGCTCTGAGTTGTGGTCTGGATTCTCCATAAGAAACACAGAGAAAATATCGCCGCACTCTCGGAAGAAGTCGTTACCGAGGAAGGGAAATCCGGGACGGTTGCTAAGCGGAATTACAAGTAACTCAAGTAGAGTCAGATGGGACTCACCATAACACTATGCATCTGAAGTTGGGATGAATAGGAGTGCCACTGCTCCCACCGAGACAGCGCCCATCGGGTAAGTTCAGGTAGCCGTCTTCGATCAGCGACTTGAAGAGAACAACAACCTCTAGGGGCGCTTTGTCTGCCTCGTCCAACACAATCCATCGACCTGACCGGACACATAAATTTTGAAGCAGCTACCTCCGAAAGACCCAGATACACGATACTGCAGGTGATGCAATCTTGCTCACCCTCAACGGCAGCCGTTACCAATGGGGACTCCTTCCAAACGATAGCGCCCTCGTGTAGTGCTGGAGTGCTGGTCAGGGAACCAACAGTGCTATCACGATGGAGCTGCATATAGTACCTATCGAGTCGATTTTCTTGCAGCGAATAACATCGGCACGTTTATTTGTCGAGGTTGGACATTTCAACTTGGCCTTTGCGAAGTATAAATATGCTGGACCGTGATACAATGGCCGATCTAACCAATCTTCATCGCCCGATTAGTTCAGCTGGATAGAATGTCTGCCTACGGAGCAGATGGTCGTAGGTTCGAATCCTGCATCGGGTAATTGTATCTCTATTGTTCCTTTGTGAGATCCGAAGTGTGCGACTGGAGACGTCATTTTCCAGTTCGATCTTATAATGCATGGCATTTGTCAGAGTCACCACCATCGCTGGGAAGTTTCTGTGAATCCCACGAAAGACTCACCGCTCCACACGAAGCATTTCCATATAGTAGTCGATAACCATATTCTTCCCCACTCCCTGGGGTCCCACGATGAGTAGGCTTCGCTCTCCGTGGAGGAACCTGAGATGCCTCGAATCGAAGGTTCGCATGAATATCGAGCTATTCTAAGCAACCGACATGTCCCTGTGGATCTCAGCCATAAATCGCTTGTGCGCCGGGATAAGGACGAATCTCTCTCTGACTTGAGGTATCTGGTATCTTACCAGTGGTATGGGTTGCAGTGCGTGATCACGACCCAGGGGGTGGTAGAACGCAAGCCTCACCAGCTCTGGACGACTATCATCAGGACCGGGTCTGTACATCCATCCTCTGATACCATCGATCACTACAGCGCCATCTTGAAGGGAGATCTCGAGGGAATCTCAAGGACAACACACCCGACATCTTCTAACTCACATCGATCCCATCAGCTTCCTGGAGTGAGCTAGAAGCGGCAGCGAAGTCCCGCGCGAAGCCTTTAGGAAGCGCCTCCCTCTCCAAAGGCGGCACTAGATTGAGCAGCAGCTGTCGCCAGGCTGTTGATGCGAGAGTTTCTTTCGAAGGAGATGAATCACAACTAATTGAAAAGGTCTTCAGTCGTATATGCATGGATGGAGGGCAATTCTGACTGACATTTTGGCAATCCGAAGCATCCTCCTAAGGGTCAGTGGAGGGATGCCTTGGCATCCGTCCAGTGTCTGCTTCAGAGATAGCAGCTCAGGTACGAATGCTAAAAGAGGAACCAACTCACGAGCCTCGATGGTCTCGAAGAACGCATGGACCAGATCACACACATTTAAGGCCAACTCACCGCTCCCGCTGTATTTGGCTGAAATGATCTCCGCAATAGATGCTTCGCCTAGGATGTGGAATGAGAATAGACTCATCACCTGCAGCGCTCAGTTATGCATATATCCTACGAGTCACTGTGCATACCTCAGGAGAGAGCCACGCATTCCCTTGAGTCGGGGGAGCTGCGAGAGCTACCACCCGAAAGTTGGGATGAACTTGGATCACTCGTGGACCCTGAAAGAACATCGCCTGTGAATTGAACAAATTCCCACCACTATGAAGATCACTCGTCTGGCGGTCGCTGCAGATACGGCATGACACTTTTAAGCGCATACCGATATCCTGAATGCGCTGAGAAGCGTCATGCCATGGATAAGGGGAACTTAACAACTTGCTTATTCGCATGTTCGATATATCCACTCATTAAACGTTATGTAAACCTTGAATACTTCGCGAAAGCATCAGAAAACAATGCAGGTGGCAGTGTGTATATTCAATAACACTATATTATGTTCTCGAGATATTGCAGCAGTTAACGCTATGTTCAATCGTAATGAAGTCCAGAGATTACGGAATATACCCTTGTGGTTGCAGGGCTCATACTACTGCGCCCTGCGGCCTCTGCTGCTCCGAAATGGCTCCTTTTGATAGCCACCTAGACCGACAGCTACCTAGCTACCGACACGCGACGTACTCGCCAGATTTCCACTCGAGCAGGTCTCCACTATCAATCATAGTGGCTCAGAAATCATACTGGCCTGTCAGTATTGCAGTCAACCGGATTGAGTGATGTCAGCATTGAAGATCGAGTGACTTGCCAGTTCGCGCTCGGATCACTCGATGAGTATTTTAGGCTCCAAATTTTGGCGCAGTACTACGTCTCGCCTCGGGGAGGGTTCTGGATCTCGTACTCACTACCTTGGAGAACATCTGCATTTACATAGCAGATACCTCCGAGTTGTGATTCTAACTTTTTCCTTCCAGAGACTTTCTTCGTCTTCACATCAAACGGGGCTATGTCTACGAAGCCTGCGCGAAGGAGTAATCGGTCCGCTTAGAAATAGTCGGGGCATGTAGACCGACCGGCCACGTCGTAAATACGCTAACTGTTCTACCAACACCGCCCGATTAGTTCAGCTGGATAGAATGTCTGCCTACGGAGCAGATGGTCGTAGGTTCGAATCCTGCATCGGGTATTTAAATCTATAGAAACTTCAGTAACCAACATCGGCTGAGTGGATCGGAATTGATAGGACGGAGGTTGGTGGAAACCAACGTACGCGCCGACGCGCTGAATAGTTGATTCGAGGTCGCGGACTTCCGATCTATCATGACTCGCTCTATAATCTTCCGGGAGAAACGCTATCGGAAGATCACGGATAGCGTAGACTCTACGCCGTAGAGTATTGTAATAGCTCATAGCCCTGCGACACTCACAGCGGTCTCAGATCCGGAAACGGAAGCGTTCTCTGCGTCGGTAAGGATGAGTCCTGATCCGCTTGGGTCTGAGCTTTGCAATGGACACTGTCGATCAGATATCAAGGGCGCCAAGGCACATAACACATCTGTCGGCACACGGTCCAGCCCGTCCAGCACGAGCACCTGCATCGAGTGACTCCCTATACCGAGTTGAAAGCCTGGCGCCCTACTTTCCCCTCTACAGCTGCTCTGACTGCACTACTGGGCAGCCAAATTGTTGCTCCTGTGGCCACGTCAGTAACTCGCCGTTGTAGAAGATCTCGGGCCGACATGTCCCGGTACAGAAACATAGTTTCAATGTCTCGTGAGGGTTTCAAGCTTCGAATGAAGTGCCTAGTAAACCAATGCAAAATCGCTCTCACAAGAGGATGTGGGCACGACACGATAACAAATGGAATGAGCTGCCCTATTTGAGGATAACACTATAGTTCCGCTAATCGCAAATACCCCACATGCTGGAGTTGGCGAGAATTCCGCACACGAGATGACAAGACTTGCCAAGCATATGTCCATCCGTGCCAAACTGCACGACTATTACAGCATAGTCTGAGTCTTTCCGCAACCGGCAGGTCCCACCAAACAGATGTCGAGACCGGCCCGCCAGTCCTTTCCGATATCTTCGATGGTCTTCCTCACACTGGGGGTAGTGACAAATCCCGTCCCCTGACAGAAAAAAAAAACTGCTGCAACGTCTATTCAGCGAGCCCATCGAAATGTTCTGTGTATAAATACCTGACTTATATGGCTACCAGCTCCTCCTAACTCCTGATTCTTCTGCGATATTCCAAGGCTCGCTAATATCGAGTTGACACCTCGACGAATTTCTGCTGGGAACAGCTTCCAAGGGTATACCCTGAGGATAGAGGACGTAAACTCGCAACCTCCGCACCATACAAGGAGTGACCGAAGATAGACCAACGCGTCGAACCACGACATCAACGCGAGTGCGCGTCTTTTAAACTCCACAGCGATTACTCTCGCGAATGGCCACGTCTGTCTGCCGGTAGACTCCCACCTCGCGATAGCCTCATATGTATCTCCCGTCACGGTAAAGGCCTTTTGCAGGCCGCTCATAGCGTAGCCTGGCAACAATGGTAGCTCCGGCGACTGCACGACTGCATCCACAAAATCTCTCAAGGATGGCGTTGCCTGTGCTAAAAATGGATCGTATCAAACCCTCATATCTTACCTGGGGTTCCGCTGAGAGCCCGGCAATAACTCGGCCTTGAAACCGGCTCCTAGTACAAAGAAGATACTCCATCACTCTACAAGACAATAATAATGACCTCAAAGGCGGATCAAGCGTATGGCCAACACAGGGCGGGACAGGGAGGCCGAGGGCTACGACGATAAAGCGAGGTGACACTCTCAGAAGGTTACGCGCGGTAACCTGAGACAGAAGGGAAAGGGTAGGAGGTCACTGGGTGAGCATTCGCACCATACCTCCGCCTCGCCCAAGTCCTCCGTCAACTTATCATACTTGACGTGGCTGAGCAGACATCTGCCATCGTCCAGCACCTATTCAGCTGCCGTGATGACATGTGAAACAGCCATAGGCAGACAACGATCATTACACAACTGGGAGGTCCTCACCATTTCACGATTCTCGAGGAGGTTGTTGATTGTTGGCAACACATTGCGTTCCGCCTTCTCAATCCCATCAAGGATGAGTACTCGTCCCATTATGGCCGCCCGAACGACTGCCGAGTCGACATAGATAGTCTGAGCAATATAAAGACAGTCAACCAAACTTGGAGAAGACGGAATCTACAAATCTACGGTCAATCGAGCAACGCCTTGAGCCACAACACAGTGTGGTATTCACCTCCCCATTTTTCCCAATCTCCCGTCGTTGGCGGAGATCTGCCTCAACTGTGTCCCGAGTTATAGTCAGAAGCTCTGGTTGTAGTCCTTCCACCCGGCAGAATTGGTATGCCTAGCAATACGCACTAGACCCTCAGCCCGATAGACATCGACCATTCAGCTCACCAATCGTCGGCGAATCGAGCCAGGATCTCCTATCAAAAACATATCCTGCCTCAAAATATACTTCTGCCTCATCCATTTGAGATGAGAGGCGAAAGCCATATTGGGTGCCATATCGATGACCTAGTGAACGATAGCCTATAACCACACCGTGTGAGTACAGTTCAGTGCAAGCATCATAGGAAATGAACGAGTGCGTATAGTTACCTTGGGCACCACAATTTTCTGAGATACTGGTCTCCCAACATGACCGGACACCGAGTTGAGCCGGCCAGCCATGTCAACGACAACTGTGCTGAGTTAACACTCTGTTCCATCAGCGTATCACAGCCCAAATCTAACTCCAAATCCTCCTACATTGACAGATATAAACTCCACAAATCTAGGATGATCCCCGCGGGAAACACACAATAACAGTCAGGCGCTGGCGGTGGCGTCCGCCACACACACGGCCTGATTCTGATTGACGAGAAATGATCACAAGAAATGTAACAGATTATGGAGAAATTTCTACCACTATGGGAAACAAGCTGAACCATCAAGAGTAGCAAAGACACTAGACAGCTTAAGTGATGCCCTTAGAACACCAATTCCGAGTCCTTCTTCACGTCATCAAAAGCAGTGCCGACCTGGCTCTCATTGCCTACAGCCTTAGCAAGGACGCCGGCTTCTGAGATACCACAAACGAGTGTAACATCAAGCGAAAAAATTATACCACAGTAGCGCCAAGGTCAGAATTCACTGTGCTGTACGTAAAATTTGGAAGCAATGCGGCACCCCAACAAAGTGATACAACCAAAGACGTACCTCCTCCCTCTGCGGCACGCTCAGCTGTCTCTTTCGCTAGCTTCTCCTTCTTTTTCTCGACAATCTTCTTTACTCTGCAACAGCAATGAATGCATTAGTGCCGACATTTATTCTACCAACCTGAAGAACTCCTCACGCTCCTGCTCATCCATAGCCTGCTCGATGAAGTGGACGATGCCCTCGATGCGGGGAACCACCACATACTCGAGAGCATTCACACGACGCCTACGAGGAAAACAAAATCAACAGCAGACAAACAACACCAACAGCCATAACCTACGAGGTCATCTTGATCTCCTCATCCAGAGTGATGAAGGATGTCTGTAGAGAGGCCATCTTGACGAGCTGAAGAGAAGGCGATCCCGTTCCTTCATACGCACAGTGAGACACTTACAAGCTCAAGAACCTTAGCATGCTGGAGCCTGCAGGTTTGAATGACTTGACCACCCTGGCCGGCACCAAGACTCATCATGGGACCCTATAAGGCAGTTATAGCAATGACAAGATCAGCAGCAAGTAACAGCTCACATCCAACGCTGTGTCCCTTTGAAGGTCAAACTTGGGGAGGAAGACACCGGCAACATTCTCAGCTGAAACTTTTAGAGTCACACTGAAGCAAACAGAATACCAAAACTACGGTCAACTGCATCAATAAGCTCACCTAGGCTTCTTGACTCGCTGAATGACGGTCTGGACGAAATCACTGTCACCGGCCCATCTAGCTTTGGCAATGGAGAAGGAGCAATCTGCCATGCTCTCACCAACGGCCTTTTTAGTCTGAATAGGAGCAGGTATAGGAAGACTGACGAGAGCCTGATATGGTCTACATCCACGATTTCCTTGAGCATCTGAGAGAATCTGCTCTTTAGGGCATCACGCTTCTTTTTGAGAAGACTGTGTCCCTTTCTGGCGCCGACGCCCTTGGCCTTGAAGGTCTGTAGGGTCATACGGTTCGCTGGGGGCATCTGCTGAGACATCTTGAGAGCTGTTTAAACCGGAAAAAAATTCTGTTCCCGGAAAGCAGGTCAAATCCGTGTGTATATGCCGTCCGTCTAAACTGACCTGACCTCGTTGAGGACTCCGACGACGCATCAGCTACAGATGTGTTATCAAAGTATTTACGTTGGGGTACGCTTGACGACGACCAGAAAGCTCATCCCAAGTGAATTTCACAATCAAAACGCCATGAAGATTCGGCCAAGCTTTTTACAGCGCACCTCAGTGTTGTAATATGTTCGCTTCCCTCAGCTGACCCTAGGAGTTTCCTCACTGATTATAGGGGTTTATACACGAAGTAGGGTAGAATTGTATAGGAATCAACCAGAAATTCCAGAAATTTCATCAGAATTTTAATATTGTCACCGATATATGTGGGTGACCATGTGTATGTTTTCCCACACTGGCGCAGCTACACGTCCAGTGGGATCACTACGATAAGAAAAGCTATGTAGAAGAGTGACTGAGCACAGATTAGTGGCTATTGCTAGAGCTGGTATTAGAGCCTCTGGAAGGACGAACAGCATGACAAAAAAGGGCATCGTCAACCTTCCTGACAGTGGGGTCGTTCAAGAAACCGATTTCGGAACTCAGAATCGATTCCGGAATCGCTTACTACACATATAATATGTTGCTAGAATCGATTCTGAATTGCAGAATTGATCCAATGAACATGGGGACTCCCCATGTTCATTGGATCATGAAGGTGCAGTAAGGGCCATCAAGGAGACGCAAGATCGCAAGAGTTCAGCTCTGTCGTAGCCAGAGGCGCAAACAAACCGTGTCACTAAACTTTGTGTCCTAAATCACTAAATTAGACGCGCGCGCCCCTGTGATCGGTTTATGCGCGCCTAAGGTTGAGAAAAAGAATATCCTTCACACCGTTTTCAGGTGTGCGGATAGACAAACATATAACCCGACTAACCGCTATTATTATATGCCGTGCAGGCCTTTCCCGCATGAGGTATGATCTTGCTATTACTACCCGCTACCGCTGGATTCCCCTCCGTCAGCGTAAGTGGTTAGCTTTTGACGAGAAGAGAGAGAGGCACGCCTACGTCGGAGAGACTGCTCAAACCTTCCTCCACGCGAATGGTATCAACAAAAACTGGCTGAACAGTTGTTCGATTAAGTGGATGAAAAATCTCGCGTGTCAAGACTTGAGACGGAGGTTATATCATTTGCTTCTACTTGCCAGGTTCCATAAAGATCCAACAGGGTTAACGACACGTCAGAGAAAACGTCTTCGAGAGGTCTGGCATCGGTACTCAGTCTTCCCTTAACCTACCGTGGCACGGTAACCGTGCTTCTTTCGCCGGAAAAATGCATTGCCGTGGATGCCAAGAAACTTTTATCATCTAATAATCAGAGGCTTAGAACCGATTACTTCTCTGTCAACCCGCAAAACCAACAACTCAACTCGTAATGCATCGATGAATTCACTTTCCACTCAATAATTCAGGTCAAAAGTTTTCTCTGACAAGTCCCCAAGTTGAGCAATCAAGTGCAAGTACCTCAAACATTCCACCACTCTTGTGGTCGACCGAAGCTCGAGAAGCCCATCAGCATCATTAATAAGTGATCTTCACTGAGTCATACTGTTCGAAGTATAGTGATCTGCATGCAGTACATGGTCAATGATATAGTGTTGGGTTTCGCAGCTCGAAAAACTTGGAAGGTAAATCAAAATGTAGCTCACAAAACGAGTGTCGAGTTTGCCCAATGAGACATGGACTTGAGACAGACCCGCCTGGCCCGCTGAACCCTTTTCGTTAACTTGCTTCCCTTCGGGTTTCTGGGTCATCTGTTTCCCTTCGGGTTTCTGGTTCATCTGTTTCCCTTCGGTTTTTGGTCAACGTTGGGGAGCGAGGAGGGCCATCAGCCTCATCAGACCTCGACACTCGAATCGGAGTCCCCAACGCGGTGTGAGAGATGAGAGTGGAAGAGGTTACTTGTTTCCCTTCGGTCTCTAACGCCGTTGAAACGAAGTCGCGCTTTATATCGACTATGAGGGCGCGCGCTGAAATTTAGTGATTTAGGACACAAAGTTTAGTGACAGTGTTTGGACACGCCGTAGCCAGAGGCTATCGATGCACCCGGGTTCGATCCCTGGCGTCAACCGCTACGATCTAAAATCGTCGCTCTGTGGGCCTCACCATAGCGGAAGCCATAGGATACAATTTGTAACATGTGTGTGCTGTTCAGCTGTTAATGCTCAATAAGCCCCTATCGGCTACCATCCGTACCATGAGTAGTAGTGGCATGAAGCTCCCTCTCGCGCCCTCCGTCTCGGCCTTCACTGGAGGCCTCACCCTTCAGGCTGTTGTTCCGACCTCTCCTAGTAAGACCAGTGGATCGTCACCTCAGAAAGGCGGAGGTAGCATTTCGTGGAAGCCGTGCGTATCATCAATAGAGACCTCATTCAGCCTCCCCGCGGCAAGGCGGCAAGGGCAGCTCTAGCGGTCCGTCCGTGGTCCCTGTAGCTGGGTATGACCCCATCCACACTGTCATGGCTACTAAGCCTGTGGCCTCGAAGTAAGCGGATAAATTTCCTTTGTAGGGATACATACGATATTGATGTAGGCTCTCCTTGGATGAGCGCGTGGCTCAATGTATGGCGGTGGCTAACTACGGTGGAGAGATCATTCAAGAGGAAGAAGTGAGGAAGCTTTTCGGTAGAAAGCACCGATTTCCACGCTTCCACCTGGCTAGTTGTGTCTGCCGCTGATCAGAGGCCAAGGCTAACCCTATATGTTACGACGGATTCGAGCCGAGTGGCCGCATGCATATTGCCCAGGGTATTCTCAAGGCTATTAATGTCAACAGGTGAAACGCATGAGAATGCTTCCAGTTTGGTAAAGAGTGCCTCGACAGGTTGACTTCGGCCGGGTGTGTATTCGTTTTCTGGGTTGCTGATTGGTTCGGTCTCCTCAATAACAAGATGGGCGGCGATCTCGAGAAGATCAAAAAGGTAATAGTCAGGCGAAGTTTCTGGCTTCGACTACATGGCTTGCTGTTCTCAGGTTGGCCAGTACTTCGTAGAAGTGTGGAAGGCCGCTGGAATGGACATGGACAATGTTCGCTTCCTTCGAGCCAGCGAGGAGATCAACAAGGTTAGTATGCTCGTCGTACATTCACACCTCCTATGCAACCATCCCATCGGGAATCGAGGAAAACTTTCACCGCACGTGCGCTGTGCTCCTATCTCGATTGCTTCTGTCAGAATCCGCAAGACTACTGGTTACGCGTGATGAACATCGCAAGAGCAAACAGCATTTCGAGGGTGAAGCGTTGTGGTCAGATTATGGGAAGGTCTGAGGGAGACGAACAGCCCAGTGCGCAGATTCTGTAGGGCAGAACTGTTTGTTTAAACCTACAGCGTCTACGGTTGGTCTTGCCAGGTATCCTTGCATGCAGTGCAGTGACATCTTCTACCTCCATGCGGACATCTGCCAGCTCGGTATGGATCAACGTAAGGTCAACATGCTCGCAAGAGAGTACATGGACAAGCCCGAGGCGAGCAAGGACAAGCAGAGGATGTAGAATAACTTGTTGGTCGGGACTTATGAATTTGCCCGTGGAATTCAGGCAAGGACGAAAGCCCATAATCGTTTCTCACGCTATGGTACCTGGCCTTTTGGAAGGACAAGAGAAGATGTCCAAGGTAGTTTTGGGGGTAAGCTACAATCTGTTTGGATTTCTGATTTCAGTCTAATCCCGATTCTGCTATCTTCATGGAGGACTCGGAGGCTGATGTGAAACGGAAGATCAAGAAAGCCTTCTGCCCTCCCAATGTGGTTGAAGGCAATCCATGTGTCACTTACGTCAAGGTAGGTGTGAGGGACCGTATCGACTCTCGTATTGAAGCATTCGGGATCTATACAGCATTCCTATTGTCATTCCTCACTAACATTCGATCTGATGAACACGTCCATATTTCGCTCTCGTGCCAGATGCTTGTGTTCCCCTACTTGGGCAAATTTGAAGTTCAGAGGAAGGAGGCTAACGGCGGTGATGTGTGAGTGTTCGATAAGAGTTGCTGTGGTGTTCATTCCTTCCTCAGGACGTTCAAGACGGTTGAGGAGTTCGAGCACGCCTATGCCCATGGCGAATTGCACCCTGGTGATCTCAAGGCTGCTCTTACTCGGTACTGGCAGTTAAATCGAAGTATCAGGAATTGCACTTTGCTGTCGTTTTAGGTGTTTGAACCAGATGATCGAGCCTGTGCGTCACCACTTCGAAACGAATCCTGAGGTAGGCACCGGGGCGGGACGCATGAGGAGGAGTTTTGTGTATTCGTAGGCCAAGGCGTTGCTGGCTGAGATCAAATCCTACAAGGTCACCAAGTGAAGCAATCACTAAACCCTTACTGCCACTGCTTATCCCATAGCAGGAGTTTCTCGGACCCTTACGATACCCTTCTTGTGTAATTCAATCCTGGCAAGTGGAGTGGAGGTAGTGTTCGAGTTGAAGGCGTTAGCTTTGCGCCGATATGAACCTCAGCGGGTATCGAACTTTGAAGACAGACGTGTAGCTTCAATCATCACATGCTGGAGAATGGAAAGATGCCGATAGGTTATGGGGGTGGAGGGTGGGTGTTAGTTATTAGGCAGCTTTTGATGTCTTCAATGTCTTATGGTCCGACGATATGATGGTCATGATATCGATAGAATGCGAGCAACGTCACCGACCAGAAGGACTGCGCGGAACAGGATCTCGATCAATCCCATAACGGGGGAGGTAGGTTGGGCGGCATCGGCAGGTATTCGACCGTAATGAACGGTCTGGGAATCGCCGAGCGCTCAGCATGAACAGTTGAAGGGACATAGTCTATGGAAAACGATCACTAAAGAGCTTGTATTCAATCCTATTGATACAACGCCTCTGACTGTGCCTGCAACGGGGTTCCAAATGGCCCTCTATTGAACTAGGTTTCGTGACGAAGGTGTGCAGCTCGTTTACTTCGCGTAGTCCGTGAAGTGGTCATGATGGTTTTTGAGAAAATTGCGGAGCGAGCGAAGCGAGCGGAGCATAGAGTCTATGCCAAAGACTGCAACAAGCGTCACTTCACGTTGTGCGTGTGTGATGAATTATCGAACTATCAATCGATTTGTCTGTATTCGCACAAAACTATGCAGAAGAATACGACTAAAGACAAAAGTTGTCGGGAAGATGCGAGCTCTGAGTAATAATGGGGCGCCAAGGGCGCGCGAGCTCTCAGCGATGGATGAGCGAGCTCCGCCCTTTCGCTCGCAAGCCTCAGTAAGATGCTCAGAAGTGACTTACGAATGCGCTACCTATTGGCGGGCGAAGGTTTTATGCCTCCTCATGGTCTGTCGGTAGCTAAAGATCTGGAAACGCGCACCAAACTCTTTCCTCAGGAAAGTTTCCTGAATTAAGTCTCCGGTTCGATCTCAAGTGGGTTTGACATCTTCCAAGGACCGAGTTTCCCACATTTCTTGACCTGATAGCTTATCGGTGTCTCGGCACACAGAGAACTGTATGCATACGTTGCACGCACGCACACGCGCACAACCCGGCAGTGGCTGTCTCCGTTCGGTCCGTTCGCTTCGGGAGAACGCATCTCGGAGACCCCTCTTGAATGGTTTCTCGACTTGAGCCCTGAGAATTCAACTCGGCCAGGCTGATTCGTGTGTCGTGAATGACCAAATCTGGTCTCGAGTTTAGCGATTACTAGTCCTTCACTATGCAGGTTAATCGATACCACTCTACCGATAACCACCCCGATGACAGTCCGTCCCGAGAGGTTAGGTTCATGGATCTTCAGTGCGGCTTCCCGCAGACTGCAGGGCCGCAATTGGACTACAGACCGATTGGTGGGGGGTATGCTGCTCCTATCACTCGCCTGATGCGAAGATTGCCCTCGCCTAATGGAGCACTTGGTTCTTTCATGAAGTCGACTAACGGCGTGGCACGGGGCCCGATGATGAGGTACTTGCAACGCTTACTGTTGGATGGGGCGGAGGCTGCCGGACCCGTACCGCTCGACTGGCCGAAGCGATCACAAAAGCGAGAACCTACGCAGCGCGAACGGTGTGATTCTCCTCGACGCGCCCTACATGAGCATGATTTATCGAGAGAGTGGTATGAGAAGAAAAGCGAGGAGAAGATGCCTCATGATATATCACCTAGCAGAAGATATGCCGCCGAGCTGGAAGCGCAAATAGCGGAGAAGAAGGCGAGGGAGAGGCGAGCAAAGGAGGAAGAAGTGATGCGCGACCTAGTTCTTGAAGAGAAAGTCCAGAGAAGCCGGTAGTGAGTTCTCTGTGTGACCTGTAACCAAGCGTTCGCCTGGTATTCTAGTGCGGAGCAAGATTCATCGGGGATGTCGTCTGGGGTGATAGCGAGTCGGCGAATAGTCGGCAATCCTTTCGGACAAGTGGTAGTATAGAACCAACTCCCGTATGTGAACATGGTCTACTTCAGAGCAAGCTAGACGGTAATGGCTACGTGGAAGAGCAAGCACGTAGCGTGAGAGAGAAGGGCGCTGCACAACACCATCGGCAAGTGATCGATATTGATGCTGAGTGGGCTGAGTGGTACAGTAGGCATCCGGAGGCTGACAAGAATCGGAAAGATAGTAATCGTGGGCGTGTGATTCTACCTTCTATGTTCCATGGACTTGACTCTCTCAGATAAGAGTGAAGCCGCGCCAGAGACCGGTACGGTAAAGTCTGGTGAACATGGTTATAGGACAAGTGAAGCAGAGGTTACATGCCACAGTGGAGCTACCGGAGAAATCCGCCAAGCCTCTACTGCCAAGCTTGCGAATACCTCAAGCCAGTCGATTCTTGAGGGATCCAAATACAGCTTATTGGATCCTCCTGGCCGGCAGTTCAAAGTCAGAAGTCCGACACCCTCGTTGACGAGGTCGTTCCGAGAAAAGATATCCAGCCCGAAGTCCATCGACTATAAAAGGGAATTCGTGATTGATCAGTTCCGGATCGAAATGGACAAGTTGAAATCTGATATGGAGGTGCGCACGATCGCTCTAATGCTGAGTGCCGAACGGCAGTCTGAGTCTGCTGATGCTTCCTCAGATGAATAAGCAAAGACTGAGCCGTGAGGTAGATCACATCAAGTCCACCCGGCTGCTGCCATGCACGTCCGCTCTGATAGAAATATCGTCACCGCGGTGTTTGGGAGGGACGGCAGATGTGGGTGGAAAAGACGATGAAGTGAAGCTTGAGGATGCCCCTCTGGAATCGTGGAGGGAGGGTGGAAGCGTCGTTGATTTTGGAACGGCAACGAGCCGTCAACTTGATGGTTCGCAGAGAGCAACCGGCTCTCTCAGCGGCTTCGTGACGTGGTGTGAAGAAATGGGCTCCGAGGAGGGGGAAATAGAGGAGCTCAGAGAGCTTGAGATACACTCTCCAGCTGAGTACTTCAGTTCGAGTCCGAATCAGGAGACTGAGCGTCATATTGAACCTGGCATCTCATGAAACATAAAGCTCTCTGACGTTATTACTACTGCATCATGTATTCCTCAGACTTTAGTTCGATAATGGCTGTTCCGAGAGTGCGGGCAATTTGAACGTGCTTAGGAATGAGCATGGATCCTTCATTGCGTCTTTGGGAACTTGGAAGTGCGAATTCACTCAAACAGTCGCTCTGCGTTGAAGAGAACTATCCTACAGGGTTTGTGATGTTTCATTATTCTTGATGATCCTTCGACAGCCTGGCCGCCAGCTTTCATTTGCAGAGGCCTCCGCCGTCAATTCCGGTTACGAAGCTCCCGCTGCTGTTATTCACACTACAGGTAAGTGAGTTTCAGGTTGTCATTGCTAGTGCGCGCTTGCTTCACGATGCTTTCGAAATCCAGGAGCGTGCCGTGGGACTAAACCTCAGTTATTTGTGAACCCTTCAGATGATACTACCGGAACGTTCTCTACAGCGTCACGCTTTGCGGCATTGCAGCGAGCATACGCAGATAATCATTCGGAATGGATTCATCAGCTCAACGAGCGAACGCCCTATCACCTGTGGAAGGGCCCCGGCATCGTATTCACCCCCACTGGGTTTCAGATGCGTCTGCCTCGATTCCAGGATTGGTGAGCTATGCGGAGCCTTCCTTTGTCTGCTTGCGTGCTGAAGTTCAATCAAGGTACTTCATGGATGGTGAGAGTGTATTCGAGGATGGCCGGGAAATGGAGGTGGAAATTTCCGGAACTGGCGATCCAACTTGGGCAGTGAATAGGAGTAATCCCGAGCTTCGCTCCGCTGTAGGTTTTCACCTATTTTCCAGGCTACAGGGAACGGTCTAGTCTGAATATGCTCGCCGCGACGAATGCTAACCCCCGCATGTTTTGGCTCTACATGAGTGCTGCTAAGGCCTTCAACATCGACGTTGAATCCGAGATATCCTTACCGAATATGCGCTTGTTGCTGGGGCACTATAAGACGGCTTTGAGGTTCGTCCTTGGGACCCTCATTCTTCTCGATAATGGCATGTAGCTCTCTGGTCGAGCACATACCATGGGTCCGTGATAACCTGTCTTATGTGGGGCGCTTTAGGTGAAGTGTTGTTGATTTTGATTTCGCCAATAGCATCTTTTCGGCCACGGGAACTTATAGACCTGCATGTTGTTCCGAATGCAGGCGGCCATCAGATTCTCTTCAGACTCCTCCAGCCAGAGCTCGCCCATCAGGTGAGACGGGTGTATTTTCATCATCTCGATGCTGGAGCAGTAAGTCGGCATCGACCAGTGAACCTCACTTCGACACTCTTCAACACAGTTTATGATGTTCTTAAGTGAGTGTGGCTAATCCAGACTGGATCGCGGGTACGTGTGTTTGACCATCGTTCTGTGATTTTCCTGGGCCTGGGAATTTAGACTTCATTGGTAGTGTCAACTCTGACAAGACGTTACTCTGGACGATTCTCCTTGTCGCATTCATGAGCACAACGAGACTTTCATGAGTTTTATTAGCGATCTTGTGAAACGGATCTCATATGAAGTTCTAGATGGACTGTTTTACCATTCTTCAGGGAGGGTGAAGGGGAGTTCCATGTGGTAACCGACAACGAGGAGTTCATGCAGAAAGTTGTCGCACTGCTGCATGAGAAGGGGTAAGATGGCGTTATAGTATCGGTGAGCGACCGAACTCTGTAGTTTTACCTGTGTGCGGTACTCTCTGCGAACGTCCCAAAACTTCACCGTCCCTGCAGTTAGTTGGACGACCTGCTTTTGTATACATTGATCCGTCGCCATTCGTTAACTCGGCTTGTCTTGGCGTCGCTCGTACGCGTCTTGTCGACTTGTTTGGGGGGACCTTCTCGTCCATCTCAGCGATAAATTCCAGTCCGGGTATGAATATCCTTTTTATGGTACTACACAGAAGGATGCACGGAGCTTGCCAGACAACGGTAATCCATATCGGGTCAATGCATGCTCGGATTACGGAACCCGATATCTCACCACTCCCATTCGGTGGTATTATTGCATATCGTCCACGCGAAGGGTTCGTCGGTCTGATAGTTGGACCCTGGTGTCACAACTGGTGTGTGCGTGTCAGTATCTCGATTCGAGGGTCTCTAAAATGGGCGTTGTTGCGGTGAATGATCGGTCTTTTCAGCACCCCAGTACCTGGTTAGGGGCGTGTATCCTGGCGGGTTGCCGGGATTGATGCCAGAGAATGGAAAACGCGCTCGTACCGAGTCCAGGAGGTATCTACTGGATGCCGAGATTATCATAGATCGTGGAACGGACAAGGGGAAGATCAGGCTATGGGAGGAGAAGGCTATTGATGATTATAAGGGCAGTTTGAGGTGATAGTCGTGGGTACTTGGGCTTATTCAGCAGCAGGCTTCCGTGAACTTATAGTGCAATGCTGATATCTGTCGTCTCCGAGTTCCAGCGATAGTTCACTTTGGTGAGATCATCAGATGGCTTTCTTTATTGAGTAATCACTGGAAATGCGGGGTTTTATGACTGCATGTTTGTAGCAGGGGCCAGTCTAAAGAGATGATGTTTCACTCCACATGTATGTCTGCACAGGTATCATGGAGTGTGGTTGAAGCGAGTAAATCACCTGCCTAATTGGCGTTGGACGGGATGGACAGTGAAGCTGGCGAACGAGCGGCGACAATGGCTTGAAGGGAAGCAGACCGCTCTTGATCGGAAGCTCGCTAGGCTCAAACTCGAGAGTGGGAAAACCGAGAAGTGATGATGCATGAAGTTTCGATGTGTTTCTTGATTATCTGTGTATTGTGGTGTCCAGGGCGGTTATTCTCTTGAGAATCCTTGAAGTTCCTCGCATCCAATTAGGAAGAGCAATATATTCGGCCTTCGATTTCAGCTCACAGCAGGGCTCAACTGTCGTCAGTCATTAGTACTATTATGTTAGTATTATGTGTTGTGAAATAAATTTATTTTCTCACGCGTGTCGTTGATCTCCCTTAAGAGTGATAATTCCAGGTAGTTGTAGCTTTTCTCACACTCTTTCCACTTATCATGGGCTTTTTGGATGCCTACACTCCAATCCCTTTCGAGGAGGCTAGGAAGACGCATGAGGTAGCCATAACGATTTGATACCTGTTTCCACTCTGTGTGTCGCCAATCGAATAAGGAAATGCTCTTAACTCACTCTAGAGGGGGTAGGATGATCTCCAGTGCACATACAGATGTGCAGAATCTGCCCATGGAACCCTCCATGAGAATTCGTCAAGTACTAGTCCCATCCACAGGAACAGTGGTCGTTCGCTCAGGTGGTAAAGAGCTCTGCGATCGAGCAACTACTGAATAACTGGCAGCGTTCTCGGAATTGGACGAAGCCACTATGTAGGCTCAAATGGGGAGACGAGGTAGAGTTGAAATTGCCTCTTCTGGTGCATGGTTTGGAAGTATTCTGATATTAGATGGAATACATGCTCATCCAAATGGAGAAGGGGAAGCCACCCAAACCTTATTGCCATGCTGATGAGCTGATATCCATCCTTCGGAAGGGTGACGGCGACATCTGGCGACCTGAGTAAGTTGAGTACTCTCTTAGTCTTGTCTATTATCGATGTATATCATTACGTCGGCATGCAGCTGAAATAATGATGCCTTCTTAACTATGTTGTACTTGTTAGGTACGCCTCTTATATGGTAGAGGCAGTGTCGGACCCCCCGATGGATCTCGTTCAACCCGATTTTTCCGCCAGGGTTTTCGACAGCCTTCGTACACGTCGTAAACTGATCAAAGAGGTTTTACCCGATGGTGTTGAGCTTGCGAGCATCGCTGCCTTCCCTACGATGGGAGCTTCCTATACACACGATGGGGAGGCTCTCGGAGGCCCGGCTTCGAGAAGCATAATGGTGCCAGAGAGCGTCATAACCAATCATGCCAGATTCCAAACACTTACGCGGAGCGTTAGGAAACGCAAAGGAGCCAAGGTGGGACCGGAGATTCTCTGATCTGAATCAATTGCTCTAGTTCTCCTGTTGATGCTTGGGATACGCCATTAATGCGGTCTGTGTCCCCTTCACCAGCTAGCTACCATTTGCGTATTAGGCTACTCGTTATATGCGGTTAGGATTGGTTTCTGGCTGATTCTCCTTTGCCAATTCCAGGTGTGCATCTCGGCTCCGCTGTATAAAGACAAAAATACTCCCACCTGGGGTACCATCGACTGTGATCCGGAACTTTCGGCATGGGAAGTGCAGCAAAATGCTGCTATTGACGAGATGAACCCACTGAAGGGAAGGATTTATATGGACGCCACGGTCTTCGGCTTCGGGCAGAGCTGCCTACAGGTCGGTCAGCACTCACCAGCCTGCATTCGATGAATTCATACAGTGTGAAGCAATGGTTTGTATGGTGAGCTCCACTCAGATGACTTTCGAATCCGCAAGTCTGGATGCCGCCAGGGCCCTCCATGACCAGTTTTGTGTCGTTTCTCCGCTTTTTATGGCGTTGGCAGCAGCAGCGCCGTTCCAGCGAGGTCACTAGCGAGCCGTGTCTGGTAAATTCAACGTTGATCTTGTCAGGCTTAGTGTCGGATTACGATGTTCGGTATCAGCTGCTCAACCAGTGTGTCGATGATCGAACTCTCGCGGAGGCGACTCGAGGGAACGCTGTGTACAGACAACAAGGGCGCATGCCAGAAGTCATCCACAGGTAATAATAACACAGAGAACTGCTCCGCTTGACTCCTCACTCTCTCGTGGATCCATTGTTCGTAGATTGTCGGAGTATAGGGATATTGAATAGTCGTTTGTTCGACTGTACTCGGTATATTGGGTGTGCGGTTATTTAGTTCCCAATTCGTTGTGATTTCCGGTCGTTGATAGTTCGCCGTATTCAGATACGTCAGTCAGTGTGCTCAAGCAGTTAAGATGTCAGACCTGCCCGTGGAGCACCGTTCCGATCAGAAACTGAGACTCATCGAAGGCGGTATGGATGAGCCTCTGGCTGATTACATGGCCTACTGCTTCTATAGGTGAGCATTTGTTCTGATGGTCTAAATTCACAATAGCACTGGCATAATCTCTTTGCACTAGTTGTCTCTCCACATAAGCTTAGACAAATCCTTAGATCAGGGTTGGTCACTGCACTGCATTAATCGTCTCTTCAGAGACCCGATGATCATCTTCAAAGAGAGGATAGATCTGGACAATTCTGTCTCGACTGAGCATTTTGAGGGCATGTATTCAACGTTGTGCCCAATCGTAATACTTTCACGACTGGTTGGATAACTTTGAATCATTAACGCGCTAGGTGCGGCTGAAACCGCCACCGCCGGCCCAAGAGAACATTCATTGGCGAGTTGAGCTGAGGACGCCTGACGTTCAACTCAGTGATTTTGAGAATGCGGCGTTTGTTACTGTGGCGGCTCTGCTCGCCAGAGCTATTCAAAGACGAGCGACCAGCGCAGATTGTTGTGCTGGTGGTCAGGTGGTTCCCATTCAGGACTTTCACTTGGTCGATTATCTGCTCTATTAGGTTTCGGAGTTGATTCCGATTTCATTGTTACTGGAGAACATGCGTCGAGCACATAGAAATGATGCTGTTCGGAGAGTGAAGTTTTGGTGGAATGATAGAGGGGCTATTCAGGAGCGCACTATGGAGGAGATCTGGTACAGACGTTGTGGCATCCCACCACCCGGACCGCTATAAACTCAGTCCTCTGCTCCGATTCCTCACGATTGCACTGTTCCATCGATTACTGGGTTTTTCGCCAACGTTTGCTCTCGTCTGAAACAAGTTGTCTCTAGAATAGAGTATCATAGCAGTAGCTGCGACCGTCGTCAGGTGCTCTCCTGGAGGGTTACTGGACGTATGCCGTAGCGAGCTGTCCAAGGGTTATGCCGGTGCACCGTGTTGCGGCTCGGTCGGTCGTCGAAATGGTGTTCCAAAGGCTGCCTCCAATGCAGCTAAATATATCGATTTTCTGGAAGCAAGGATACGGGGCAAAGTATGAGGGCTAGCGCAGTAGAGTTTGGGCGCGGCATCCCTAATATCATGCTTTAGGTCATCACAGGAGCTCAATTTTTGAGGCGGAGGTTGTATGCCTCTAAGTCTTACAGCCAAGACTCGGTCATCACCCCAGATGCTGCTAGGGAGATAGCTGAGCTTTGTATACATATCGGTGACGCTGAGACTCTTGAGGAGCTCATCGGGATCGCCCCTGACATGTTCGAGTATTAGCTGATCACGTCTAGATCAGGATTTGGCTGTTTTCTCCACAACTTCATGTAGAATATTCAAGAAACACAGCCATGACTTTTTTGTTGGGTCATTTATTTCACTCTTGTTGATACTCTCTCACCGGGTAGAAGCCTAGTCAGCTTGCTATTCTAGACGGTCATCGTATTGCCAAGGCAACTAGCCTGTGCTGGGCTTGAGTTCCGAGTTCGAAACGATAAGAGTTCTCAGTTTCACCCCGTGCTTTAGAGAAAGGTAACATGCGCAGAAGTACAAATTGGCGAGCAGCGTGAGAACTTAGTAGACGGATGATTTTCACCTTATTGGGTACCACGATGCTCCACTCACGATCGGGAGTGGGGCGTGGGGGGAGGCCAATTACGACGATACGATAAGGAGAAGATCCTTGCTACATCGAAAAACGTGTCTCAATTCTCTTCTATATGCTTCCTCCCACCCTCGTTTCTAGGTCGGGTTAAGAACAAGGTAATCTCAGGGGACAAGTTGTATCGTGTAACCCCAAAATACAATAACGACTATGTAAAACAATTCAGATCACACTGATAACGCAACCAAGTAATCATAGCCACGCGAAAGAACAGCAAGATATCAGCTGTGCAAAAAGACAGCCTCAAACTCGAGCAGATCTGGCACATATCCATGCTGCCCGGACGTTGATCTCGATTGACACGGAATCATAAACACTTTTGGGTATTTGTTCGCGGCTATGAGGAGGTCATCTGAGCACAGTATTACAGCGGTGCTCCTAAGGACCCAATCAATCGAGCACACAGGGAGAGCATCGGAGTCTCCCAAGCAAGAATGGAGAGGGGTTTACATGTTGAGCGTCGCATTGTTGCAAGTAATACATTGTGAGATACGGAGCATACGACAGAATTGATGTCAGGATAACGATATCAATATCGGACTCACTTTTCGGATCGGTCTGATCTTGTGGCGACACTTCCAGCTGCTTTCCATCAGCTGCTGGCCCCGATATACATAATGTCCCTTTGCTGTCTTCATCCATACCAGCGGGAGGTGCACGGAAAGAGCTCACACCACGATTTGGGCTGATCGGAGAGCGCGTACGGAATATCCGACATCAATAACACTGCGATACTGAGGGTTGCTTCTTCTTATCGCACGAGCGAGAAGAAACACAGTATACTCGTAATGTAACGAGTTCGCTACGTGCCCATCCGGCTCACCTGTACAAGCGGCCATTATCCCAATACCATCGCTGATTGACGTTGGTGTTATGACGATCACATGCGAAGGCAATGACTTGAGCTCGACCAAATGGCTTATTCCCTCGATCAATGCATTTGTTGAAGCGTTTGTTAACCACTCTTGTTCCCGAGTAGCCCTATGAATAAACTCACCGTCCCTAAATAGGCGGAGATCTCACGCGCATCCATAGCATTCCACTGTCACGAGGATCGCAAGGTTTCAATCGTAATTCAGCCTGAGCGTTGACATCCTTGACGTGCATATCTTTGGTAGTACGAATCTAACAGCAAACCAACAATAGCAGAAATCTGAGCGTATATTGAATGTGGCAAGTTCCGCCACCAACTGTCCAGTGAAAGAATAAGTTGTGGCGAGAGATGAAGTGAAGTACCCCATAGGAAGTGAGATGCTGCTATTAATACCAGAGCCAGGCACAGACGACTTCTCTTATGCTTGATAAGGTGCACTTTATCGAGGAGCAATGCCTGGTTCTCGAACACGGACCAGAAGCGCTCCATGAAGCCCTCGTCGAACGACTTGCACTGCAGGCTATGCCGAACCTGATGATGAAGCCTAGTGATTCACGACTTACTGAGTTGAGATTGACAACCTGACCACCAACACAATACACTCACCGCCAATCTATCGCCGATATGAGGCCCCAACTGATGCTTCGATATTTCGCTTCTAGCAGCGGCGTGGTTGTCCAGGAACCAGCTCAGCTTCTCATCGAGATACAGCAACGCGGCGCGAGCATGATTACGCTGGACCTGAGTATCGGACCTGATACGGTGACCAATTCATCCGACCAATTGTGGCACCTGTCCACTTCTGACTTTATTCTTAGGCGCCGGCCTCTGGAAAATGTGACCTATCTTGGCTTGACGGTCAACAAGTATCTTTCCGCCACACATCCATACACGCAGAGATTGTTCGATATTCTCTCCACCCCAATCGAGCATACCTAGAGTTACAAAGAGGGTGCTGACGGTCTAAACTCATACTGCCCTACCTTGGTCGTATCCACCAGATTCGGTCCACCAACGTTTAGTCATCAGCTGGATTCCCCCGACTGCTATTGGCACCTCATCATTATTATCTTCGAACCAGTAGAACTCAAAGTTCCATTCAAACATCATCTTCGCTCCGCCCGATAAAGACATATGCTCCCATGAAGTACCTGACAGGTTCATCTATCGATCACCGTGAAGATTAATATCGTTTCTCACCATTGACGTTTGTAACAATAGGAGTGACGATGGTCTTGTAACCATTGCTAGTTATCATGTTTATCATGGACTGCATATAACCCGGTACAACTCTGCAATGGCCGTCCAGGAATAATATGTACGTACCCCTGGCCGAGTCAGCCCCAATTATCTTAGCGCGAATTAACCCTTCACGCTGCGGCAATCGTAGTATGCGTATCTTAGCCTTTTGCTCGGGTGTGAGACTTTGTAATACACCACCTTCCTCGAAGGACTGTACCACTAAAGGCTCTAATGGATGTTCTGAATTATCATCAACCACGAGAATCTCCGCCAAGAGGTCAGGAGGTGTGTACTCGAAGGTATAAAAGATAGTCTTTACCAGATAGTCAGCTTCAAATCTCGCTGGAATAACGACTGTGGACCCTGAGGAGTAACGGAGGCGTCTATGCTCTACCAACGTCAGTACGATGACACTAAGCGAAACACATCAATGACTGCACCTCTAGGGACGTACCAGGGAGGAGGTTCTGGACTTCATGCCGTCCCGTGCCTGGGTCGACCAGCACGACACCCGTCGAGCGAGACTGGGGAGAACCGTATGGCTTTAGTAACAGGAACAGGACGAAGGAAGCGCAGACTGGCGCCTGAGGTCAACAACAAGGAGTACTCTCTCCTTCTCGGAATCGTTTTTGTTATAAATCAGTCGCAGTGATGTCGCCTCGAACTACGTACGATTACTGTGGACCCGCCAAACGAATGTTCATCGAGAGGGTTATCCACAACCACCCGTCCCACTCGCTCCAGACTCACCAATAGGTGCATCATTCTGCTTCGTCTGAGACTACTGTCGGGAAGCTTCGTGCCGAGGCTCAGCGAGCCCGTCCCCACGAAGAGAACAGACGCAAGGATCACCATCAGCACACGCCCTGAGTGTTGCAGAGACAAGAACATCAAGACACTCCCTTGTGCTGAGTGAAGACCCTGGGACTACCAAGTGGACGGTTTGCTGGACCCAACCAACTCGCTATTATCATAACAAGGCCGATTTGAAGATACACTAGCAGCTCATTTCGCACACGATAAAGGAAGCCGATGAGGCGTCTCAGATATTCTCGGGGAGATCTGGGTTGCTCGGAGCGGTTGCCCATGCCGAATAAGACAATCAAAAAGTACTATCACTTTATTAGTCAACCGAGGGTAAAGAATACTTTTCTCTCATAAAAGCACCCTGCTACTGCAATGCCGCAACAATGAACAAAAATGGACCCTTGAGAGAGAATGAGACTGAGGGTCACAATACTATTCCTCAGTGGATAGCTAGGCTGTGGCCATCTATGGATCGACACGCGGCATCGATCTACCGTCCACATGATATCCTCTTTTGGAGGAGGCCTCCGGGGATCGGATAGTGCTGAAGTTGGGATATGCGACCGAGAGGCAATGACAATACCCATGAATTGACAACTGGAACCAAGCGCGAAATAGACAACAAAAATGGAATCCTAGACATATCGGCACCGCTCCCATTGGAATTGCATTTCAACTAGTAACGATTCTATTGTTGGCAAGCGAGGATGAATATCGATGAAAATAAATCCGGGTTGAATTACCTGTTGGCACGCTTCAACATTTTCACTCACATATAGTTACCGTTCGAGCCAGGCAATATCCGCTATATACAGATTGGCCGAAAAACTGGCGAAACCTACTTTAATGGCGCAAATTTGAAAGAATTAACCAAGGGAGTTGGCCTGCTCCTAACGGTACGATCTCAGCGG